TAAGCCCTAGTCCACAAGTACACAGGGGTTTTTTAAAACAGCATCTTAAGACAAAAATGATCTCTGTTTCAGTGGTTTTCAGTGACCTAAATGGTGCTAAAATGCACAATAAAATTTAACAAATACCCATCAATACCTATGTGAACTAAGATGCTAATTAGGCAGGTACACCCACAGTCACAAAACACATGTGCAAACAGTGATATATTCCATATCATGAAATGCAGATGAACTGGGGAGGAGCAAAGTAATCCACCAAAACACCAGAAGAAAAAATGACCTTTAGTAACCAACCTTTAGTGGAGTATATAATGAACAGGTGTGACTATCAAAAACATAAAAGCTTCAATCTTAATGAATTGATTTGTTTAGGGCCACTTTGGGACCTAACAAACAAGCTGTAAACACATCACTGACAGTATCACAATATTAAGTTCATATGATGAATATCTTTTCCAGTTCAATATGTAAAAATATATAATATATATATATGAATATAAAATTTGTTAGAAACACCAAGACCAAATGTGACATACATTTGCTGCAGATGTTGATTCTATTAAATGCAGTGTATGACTGAGAGGAATCATGTTGTTTTGTTGTAATTTGAAAAAAAAAAACAAATGCAAATGACCAATTATCACATTCTGGCTTCACAAATATAAATCAGAAAGTTCACACTGCTACCTTGAACTGAATATCTGGCACTGCATTCTGGGAGATGATTGATGCTATATTCAGAAGGATCCATACCAGCACTGTTAAACTTACAAAACACCTTGAGGCCTAAAGCTACAGAGGATGTCAGATGGGGGTGTGGCTGTTCTCTCGTTGAGTCCCGATCAGTATTTTTATTATTATTAGTGGCACCTTGCACCAGGATGAAGTGACAAGTGTCAATTGTCCTTAAATTATACTGGCAAAGTAATTCTCTGACAGCAGCCAAATTCTCAATCACTTTGTTTGATATTTTTCTATAGACACATAAAGCTTAAACAGAGGGGGGAAAATATACAACTGAGGGGGCTAAGCCCCTTAAGACCCTTTGTGGCGCCGGACCAGGGCACTATTACTGTTATTAGTCTCTGCTCTTTAACAAAAACCCTTCATTTCCCAAAAGATCAGTGTTTCTGGAATTCTGAAGCACAGCCTAGTTTTCTGCTGTTACATAATAAGATTTGATCGAGAGTCATGGCTCACATTTAAGATTTGTTTCCACACACAGCTACTGATCAGCCACTTCATTCCACCACTATTATTTATTTTTATCTCTGCCTATACCAAACTTTGGCCTACAGGAACTTGTGTCTGCCATTATCTTTCTTCCCCTCATGAAGGGTTAGGGTCAGCAGTGCCAAAGTATTGTGTTATAGTTTTCAACATAGGAAGCATTTTTAGATTTGGGTGAATGTAAAGGTAAAAACAAACGCACACTGTGCATCACTTGTACTCATTTTATTCCAATGTTTGGGTCCTCAGACCTTTATCAGGTAAAAGTCATTAACACCAACATCACCTGATGTACCTGCTGAATGTCCATGGACCATGATGATGAAGGGATTCTTGAGTTCTACATGCCTGTCAGAACAACCTTTAGGTGTGCAACAACTTATTAGCTGTATGGATTTTAAAGATAAATAACTGAATAATAAATTATGCTGGGATAAAAACAAAATCTTAAATACCCTCACTGACCCGCAGCACTGATGACATATAGCGCATTCTTTTTTACATTTCTCCTTCACTCTCTTTCCTGGTCTCTAAACTGAACTCCTCCTCTTTATTTCCTGCATTTTTCCAAATACATAAATTACATTTGAGCTGGTTCAATTTCTAGAAGTTTTCATGGATTTACCGTTACCGAGACCAACAGGTGAAACTGTCTTGTGAGGGGCCTAATGTGAACAGTGCCGTACTTTGGCCACTTACCCATCTGTCACCAGTGATAATTGTACTAACAGAAACAGAAGTACCAGTAATGACAGCAATGGTTGCTCCACTAATATGAGGCCTCAATGGAAAACACTTTTAACAGAAAGCAGGGAGCATATCATTTGTACATTTGCCAGGAATGGAGGGAACACTGTGTGTGAAAATATTCAAAGCATCCCCCGACTCAATGACTGTAATCCACATACACTAACATAAGCAACAGTTTCATTTCTTTGTTTTTTGATCAAACACATTCACAAAGAGAAAGACAGGAAAATGCACCCAAAATCTACAGAAAACTACAAATGTTGTGTCTTGACAGGCAAACACACAACCTGTGTGTGTGTGTGTGTGTGTGTGTGTGTGTGTGTGTGTGTGTGTGTGTGTGTGTGTGTTGACATCTAGGTGTCAAATGTATTAACAGGTAAAAGTGAAACTTCACAACTTGTTAACAGTTTTCTCTCTCTCTGACTTTTCTCACCTTCTCTGTGGACTGTGTGTGTGTATGTCATCACATCCATTAGATTGACAGTGACTAAGTGCTAAAGCTCTCACACATCAGTCGTTTACAAACTCCTCTATCTGATCAGAGTTCGGCTAATCTGGCCTGGATCTGTAGTTTTCGTATCATAATAATACTTATTATTAAGAACAATAATGAATCCAACCCACATAAATACATATACATTGTATATAATTACTTTACTTTACAACACCGTATTAACTATGTGTGTGTAATGTTGCCATCCGCCATAACTTCCATTTATTTACCAATTTACTCACTCACAATACTTACAATACTTGATTTTCATTGTACACAGACCTGACACATATAATCATTTACAGCATTTTTTATTTTTTTTAACAGCTGCTGCTAAAGTGCACCCATGCTTGTGGAGTAACAGATTACATGAAACAGAGTTAAGTAATCAGGATACAAAAAAGGTAAGTGTAATCTGTCTCAGATTACAGTTACATTTGGTAAAAATGGTGATTATTGGCAGAATTCAAAATTTAAAATACATTCAAAGGACCAGTGTGTAGGATTTAGTGGCATCTAGTGGTGAAGTTGCAGATTGCAACTAACTGAACACCTCTGACGTCTGCATATGACAACCTGTGTTTGGTTTGTCCAATCTGGGCTACTGTAGAAACTTATTCTAAGCTCATGCTATAAATATTATATTCCCTTTCTGACAATAGATCCTATTAAAGTGTTTTAGCTGGAGCTTTAAAAAATAAAGAATGATATATTGCCATGCATTTGTGCAGTGTGTATACATTTCACTAGTCTTACAGCACCTCTTTGGTCTCCAGTGAAAGCATAGCTAATCTTCTCAGTATCATGGCCAAACATACTGTACACGGTTCTTTAGCACACCTATTCAGGATCCAGTTCTCAAGCATTATTAGTATTTAGTCATTAATATTTATTCATTATACTTTTGTTTTATACTGTACTGTACATATTTTAACATCTTATTTTCTATTTATATATGTTGTTATATACTGTGATATAATGTACATCTTTTACAAACTCTTATTTTATATTTTTCTATCTTCTATATATATTATTGTTATATTGTAATTCAATGCACATATTTTGACGTTCTTATTATTAGTTCTGATTAGAGAATGTGTGTCTCTTATGAGCACTGTAGGCTCCATTATACTGATTTAAATCATACATCCATAGTCTGTTACCGTTTATTATGACATTTGCAATTCTTTGTGTCTCATTTGACTTTATCCTTGTGTATTTCTCTGTATAAAAGTGATATAGCAGTGTTTGGGGCTGTGAAGTGAATTATTTCAAAATGTGCTGCTGTCTCCTCAAGTTCCTTCCAAAAGATTTTCCATGAAAAAGAATTTGACTCTTCTTCTTTTCAAAGACATTCAGCCAACACCTCCCTCCCCTCTCCTCACTTTGTGCTATTGTACCTGTGGATGACTCCTTCATTATGAACAAATACAGATTTCTGACACATTTTTATTGCCCTTTTCTCCACAATTTACTGACAACAACTGACATGCAAGTTGAAAAATAAATACAATCCTCACACATTGCCCAATCACCCCTTTTCACACCATATAGAAAATTTTACATAACACAACTGTAATATCTGTCAAAATAATCACAATGTTTTTTTTTTTGTTTTTTTTGCCATATCATGCAGCCCTATATTCTGTGCAGTGAAATAGCAAACAGTTATGTAAAGGTGTCTCTGGGTCAAGTCCTTAAATCAAGTCCTTCCTCCCTAAAGATTCACTTTCCATCATTGACTTCCAGGGTGATTTTAGAAGCCACTTGTGGGCTGCTTTCATTGGCTTAGAGTTGAATCTTACTAAATCTCAATGGACATAAATTTAAACTTGGTCTGCTCAGATGATCCTGCATAATAATGATTTCATCTAATCAAAGTACCTTTCATTGTTACCTAAGTGTCTCTCTACCTTCTATCTGACCTTTTGGGATAATTAATATCATTTCAATCTCTTCTTCCCTTCCTCCTGTGCAAGAATTCCAAACATTTCCATGGTTTTTCTCCAACTCTGCTCTGCCAGGGAAAAGTTGGAAATTACAGAGTTGGATTTTTTTGCTCCACTGATCGCTCAGACTTTATTGCTATATAGCTTTACAGTGTGCTTTAATTAGTTTATACTTTTATGTATGGACTGTGTCCCTGCAGATCTGCGTGTAAGTAGTTTCGTCTCTGGGGTCAAACTTACTGTTCTGCTTGTAAGAACTGCTGTGACCTTCCAACGTGCCACAGATAATTCTGAACCAGCCAATCAACTCACAACTACTTATTGACAGCTCTGTGCATGAAGTGTCTGCTGTGAGGGTCTTTTTTGGGAATCAAAGCCTTTATGTACATTTTTAGAGAAACTGTACATGATTCTGTACTCTTTAATTTAGGTCATATTATTTCTTAGGCTGAATAAAGGCTCAATCATCACCTCCATGAAACAACATATTTGGTACACAGATGCAAAAAACACAACTTTCACTGGTTTATTGTACTATGTCCCACAAGAAAGAAGAAACTGATAAAAGAAAACTGCACTGTTTTTAGCATCTCTTTATTTCTGGCCGTTTTACCCTGCATGAGCTACAATTACAGCAATTTTGAAGGCAGCTTAGCAAAAACCCTTTCATGTTTATTCACACCCGTTTCATTCCAAACAGCATAGAAACTGGAATTTCCAATTCAGTCAGAAAGTGCAGGCACTCAGTTATCAAGATATGTTTTTTGGAAAGTGGTTTTCACAGTTTCATGTTGCATTTAAAAACTGTGAATGCTGCGCTGGTTGGCTCCACGCTTCTTTAATTAATGTTTGGTTGAGCCAAGAGAAGGGCTTTGTTGTTTTGAGCGTGAAAATAGCAAAAATAGTTTTTTCAAATAATTAATAAAAAATCAATGGCAACGTGTTCCAGTGAGAAGGAAATCTGGTAGTTCGGTGACGTATGGCACACTGTTTTGTGCCAGGAGGCGTTGCAATTGGTGAAACTCGCAGGAAACTACAATGATTGATCAAATTTGTGGAAAAGTTGCAGTAATTGGACAAAATTGCAAGTTTGCACAACTGAATTCGCGTCAATTCCTGGAGGGACTGACATGCGCTCGTTCCTCAAACTGATTGATTCAATGTGGAAGAGCCTGTGTAGTGGAATAGTCCAGCGTTGCTTATTTTAACTTTAAACTTTATTATCAATAAAAATAAATGTTTTAATACAAAAATGTTTTGATTGAAATGATTGTGCCAAATTCATAAAACAACACACCTCCTGTTTAGGTAGTTTTAAATTGGGATAAATATAGAGTAGCATTTATATATATGTATTTATTTTTGTTTTATGTTTGTTTTTTTCATGCAGGTCCTGATCAGCTTGTCATGATGTGTCAAGATTGTACCCTGTTGGACTGGGTTTATCTGAAGGCTCCGAAGCCACGCTGTAGGCTAGCTGATGCGAGCCTCCTCAAAAACGTAACTACACGTAGGGGCAGCCGTGGCTAAGAGATAGCACATGGAGACTGTGACTGGCTGCTTGTGCTTTTTCATGCAAGTTTCTGATGCAGTTAGAGATTGAGCAATACAACATAAATAAAATAAATAAAAAATAAATAAATTGTTAATATTCTTGTGTATTGAGTAATAAATAATGAAACAAGGCAACACTGTCACTCCTCTCACATAGTAAATGGAAGAATACAAACTTATTTTACAGTCATTTGTTTCAATGTACTCTCAGTTTTAAATTGTATAATCAACATAAAAAGCTGAATAATGTCAAACATTGGGTCAAAACACATAATCTATTACGATTTGACTTTGGTGTCATGCACACAAAGTATCCAACCCTCATGGGTTTACAAGACTACAAAAATACAGTTGCAGTGATTTAACATTTCATTTCATTACAGAATTACAGAATATAGATTTGGCTCTGTCTTAAAACAGATATTCTGCATTCTCTGGCACAAAAAGTTTTTTACAAGAGAGGTTCCCTTCTTGAAGCACAATTCAAGTTTTTCATAATCATCCAGCCAAAAGAAATCATCTTAAATGGAGGACATTTTACTAAAAACTACACCCCTTATGTCCTCGTAGGCAGTACAGCAAAACAAAATGTGAACCCTTTTATCAGTTTCACAGTGTATTAGCATTAACATTAGCAACATACAATATAATATTCAAGGGTTTTCTGTGTGTTTTGTGTTCTGTTATTAGTTAGTATTTCTGCTAACACTTTGCTACAACCACTTTTTGTACATACCTAAACTAAACCCTGTATTTGTAAGTCATTTTAAATGAAGATCGCTGACTGACAGCTGACGTACACTACTGCAGATTACACACAGTTTGCTGAATGATTGACACTCAATTTAAAATGCCACATAGTGAAACTACTGGTGAATAATAGTTAAGTCTTTGCGGGTTGCTGCTGAAATGACGGCGATGTGTTTTTTTCATCAGGGACACATTGGAACAAAAGCTAAATGTGCGTGTGTGTCAGTGTGTACGTGTGTGTCGGTTTGTGACGCTCTGAGGATCCGATCAGAGCTGGAGGTTGAGCCGGGGAATGATGAGGTGGCGCTTTTCCTCCCTTTCTTCTTCTTTTCTGCCTCTCTTTCTTCCTGAAAGACAGATTGCATTCCATCCTCTTCCCTGTAAAAAAAGGAACAGGCAGACACATGGATAATGTGAAGGTATCTGCAGTGTGTGTGTGTGTGTGTGTGTGTGTGTGAGTGTGTGTGTGAGACAGAGAAAAAGAGAGAGAGAGAGAGAGAGAGAGAGAGAGAGAGAGAGGAGGAGTGAATTAGAGGCTTGCTTGGCCAGCTTCAGACTGTGCAACGTGTCTGCTGCTGGTGGATCAGATGGCAGAAAGCTGCTGCTCTGCGTCTCCCTGCAGCTCCTCTGCTCCATAATGTCTGCTTTCTGTTTAATTACAGCTCACCTGCAGCCTGGCCGGCGCTGCACACAGCCTTCTGAGGGGTGGGGGCATGACAGAATCGCACATATAAACCTTTATTTGGACTGGGGGGGAATGCTGCCGCTAAAAAAAAAGGGCTTTTATTATTTAGAGCCAATAACAATCATAATGTCTGCAAACCCCACAATTGTGCAGGTATTTCAAAACAGAGGCAGTTTCAGCCGACTGCTGCCGCTCCAAAAAATGCAAACATCTGGTTCGCTCATAAGAAACTGTAATGCTTTTTTTACAGTCAGCTGCTTCACTGATCTATCTATCTATCATCTATCTATCTATCTATCTATCTATCTATCTATCTATCTATCTGAAAGTTATTCTTTTTTACACATTTCAATCTTCTATATTTAAATACGAGGATGAGTCTGGTGGTGATGGATCTCACACACATGACATTCACACGTCACTGCACTGTATACATACTTTGGCTTAAATCTGCAGGTAATCTACAGTCTGTTCTCAACAAGTCTAAACTTTATCCTCTGTGCCAACTGAAATACTTCCAACATAAGCATATGGCCGACTTGCAAGCCAAATAATCTGCAGCAAAGCATCAAGATAGCTCAGTGATTTCATGGATCTGCATCAGTCTTTCCAAATCGGAGCACTGACTCTTTAACTTTGGGTTCAAACAATCGCTGAACTCAGCCTGCCTTAATTTGGGACAGGCCTTTAATTCCTTTTGCACAAAACTCAGTATAGAAATTAGGCTATTGAATAACATATCAATTAAAAAACATTAATTTGATAATTTGATAGTCTGGTGCTCATCGTTTCTGTCAAATGAACTGAACGATTGAATTGTGAAGAATCAAACTGATCTCACAATGTATAGCATTTCCATATTAACAAAAGTGTAAACATTTAGAGTTGAGGAGGGGACCTAAGCAGTTTGGAACCTCTATGAAATCTAATGCAGACCTGCGTTTATTTGTCAAAACGTGTAGCCACACTAGGCTACTAAAGGAGACCTGCTTCTAATTTGGACCCTGCTTTTAATTGAAGTTGGGAGGTAAAATGAATTAACAGTGAATGGTATTAAGTTACATTGTGCCTCCTACCTCTTGAGATATTGAAGAATATTGCTATTATTCTTTTATTCATTATTGTTTGTGGGGCTTTTTATGCCTCTATTTTGATAGTGACAGTTGACAAGTGATGTCACTTGAGTCGGCATTGGTTGGAGAAGAAGTTTGAAAATGAAAACAAATCTGGGGATGTTTAGTTAGAGAGGTACTAGACCTTTGTCGCCTGCTCCTCACAGCTCAAGACCTCATTAGCCGCTACTAGCATAACGCACCTGAATCTCCTGGGTTGCACTGTGGGTACTGTAGGCGCCATGTTTTGACAAGCAAGAAGAATATGTGGGATAAAAAGAAAGAAAGGGCTCTGCTGCATTCATTTTGATATGTTTTAAACTGTCCATCATGAGTCTGACAGTGTTATAGGAGCGCAATGCTAAATTGGTTCCAAAGCCATAACTGCAAGCCCACCTTGGCTCAGGTCACATTACCATGTGATGTAGCACACATGCTAGAATGGATCAGAGGGCTGGAACAGGAGAAGTGAATAACACAATTAAGCACAATAGTGCAGCTCTCTAACAGACGCTCGCTGTTGATGAGTCATGGATCAAGATCTGAGTTGTGTCTGAAGTACAATCCTATGACACTTAAAGGAAAAATCCCCTGTAACACACTGATTTTCAACAAGTTCTGGAGTCATTTACTATAAGGGTTTTTGTAGATAGCCCATGGACTGTCAGATGCAAAGTAAAGGGCCACTCCACTTTAATAAAGCAGGATAACTCACAAGAGACAGGACCAGTGTGTAGGATTTGGTGGCATCTAGTGCTGAGACTGCAGATTGCAACCAACTGAAACCCCTTGACTCAATCAAGCGTTAAGGAGAAACTATAGTAAAACTCTGAGAAAAACGTGTCCCTGTCTAAAGCCAGTGTCTTGTTTGTCCATTTTGGACTACTGTAGAAACCTGGCAGGCTCTGCCATAGAGGAGGACTCTGTAGATAAAAACTGCTCATTCTAAGGTAACAAAAACACGATTCTTATTTTCAGGTGATTAAACATTAATGAAAACACACCTATGAATGTTATATTCCATTTCTGCCAATATATCCTCCTATATGCTAAACACTGGACCTTCAAATCTGTCCTTTAACTAAACTTTTAATTTTGGTGCAAGACGGTTGTGACATGACGACAATCCTAAACATTATAGACACATGAACAATGCAAACACTGAGGCTTTCCTAACCTGACGTCACTGATCAGAGCTGAATTAGCAACAGAGACAAAAATACAAGCCAAGCTAAGCCCACAAATGAAACCAAACATTTTTAAGCCTGCAGCCATGTTCAGCACATGTTAACAGCCTAAAACCATAAAAACACTACAAGGAATATACAACCAAAAACTAATTTTTAAAAAGTCCAAGAACCCAGCTGAACACAGCACAACTGGACTACAACTGTAATGTTCTCTGTTTTTGAACTAAACTAGACTTAGAACTGCTCTGAGACTACCAGAAGCACTCTGCAATTCAACTGAAATCAAAGTGAGTCAGGAAGTAGATCAGGACCAGAAATAAAATCTGGATTAAACCCGTGGCTGCTGGAGGAGTAGATCCTCTTCCGACCCTCCGATGCTCTTCAGGATCAGGTTTCCTCCTGCTCAGCCCCCCCCCCCAAACTCCAACCCTTCTGCTGTGGAATTATGGAAGGAGGGACATGCTGATTTTCCTCTTCTTTCCACTCTTTTCTTCTGTTTTTTTCCTTCCTTTGAAGGAGGGGTCCATTCTTGTCTTCCCTAAACGTGAGCGGCAGCAGCTGGGTGAGCAAGGGTGCGTCCCCAATCGGTCCAGTCCCCAGCACCTCCCAGTTCTTCAGGCTCCCATATAAAAGCCCTTGTGGAAAGTGAGTGTAGGCAGTAGGGAGTTTTCTGCTGGGGTCAGGAGGACTGTGAACAGACGAGCGGACCCTGCCCCAAACACCCGTGTATGAGTGGAGTGTAGCAGGAAAAAGAAAACATCCCCAACTTTTTTCCTCTCTTGCCTCAAAGAGTCTACATGTCTAGTGGCATCTAGACATGTTCAGCTTTGTGGATTTGCGGCTGGCGCTGCTGCTCAGTGCAGCGGTGCTCCTGGTCAGAGCGCAGGGCGAGGACGACCGTAAGTTTCATCACTGTTTACTGGAGCTTCTCAACCCTTTTTTTTTCTTCTGGTTTTTGAAAGTGGATTTTCTCTACGTGGGTGGACGGCTGCTGAGATTTTAGACAGAGAAGAGAAGAAAGGAAAAAGTTTGAACTAGAGATAGGAGCTTTGATGCGTGCTGCTCTTTGTCTCCACTCAGATAGATAGATAGATACATAGATAGATAGATAGATAGATAGACAGCTTTAAACAGCAGGGTGTGCGTAATGCAATGGGCATCCCAAGAAGGCCTCTCTCTCTCTCTCTCTCTCTCTCTCTCTCCCTCTCCTTATGTTTGTCTATGTCACTCTACCCCCCCCCATGCATGCAGAGCGAGTTGCTGCAGGTTTTCCAGGCTTTCCTCTAGGCGAGGGTTTCTAACGGGGACTAGCATACTTTATCACATTTGAACTCCCCAAAAAAGCAACAAAGTATTTTCAGAAAAAAAACTTTTTTGCTGACATGAAAAGCCTGTGGCATTTAATCAATTTGACACCGATATCCACACTGGCTACACCCCCACCCCCCACCCCCCTACCCCCGACTTAAGGCTCCCAAAGGTTGATCTCGGGTGGTAAACTCTACAGTTTTTGGATGTAAGACTGGAGGAGGATTATAAAAAAATGGAATGGAGATTTCCCCCGCTTTCAGCAGACACCAGGCAGACGGGGAAAAGCTTCTCCCAGGCCTGATTGATGTGGCAGAGAAATTCACTGCCTGGAGCCAAAGTGTTGAGTTGGCCAGGTGAGCGAGTGAGAGAGTCACATAGGGAGGAAGCAGAGACAGAGAGAGAGAGCAGGCGTAGTCTTGTCTACTGGAAGCATTTGACCTCTACAGCCTTAGCAAGCCTCCTCCTTCTGCTCTGTTACAGTTTACAAAAGCTCAGACGTGTGTGAAGAGATTGTAGAGCACAATCGGAGGGAAGGAAGGCCTCTGCTGGTGTTTAGACACAGAAGACAAAGAGACCCAGCTCAGTTCTGGAATCAAGAGAACCAAGGAGCTGAAAGTCAATTTTTCCAGATGTTCTTCTTGATCTCAGCTGCCTGCCTGTCTGTCTGTCTGTCTGTCTGTCTGTCTAAAGCAGATGTGGGTTGACCCATCTGAACGGTCTCACAGCGCCACCCAGAGGCTTGTCTCCGCACCTGCAGACACATCTGGCCGCCACGTCCCCCACACCACCTCCTTTTTCCCCTCCTCCTCCCCCTCTTCTTCTTCTTTCCACTCTTTTTTTTTTGTTTCCTCTAATTGCAAACACATGCGGACTGTGTTTCCACCAGCTGCTGCCAAGCCGACAGTCTGCAGCAGCGCTGCTGCTTTTCCCTCTGAGCTCAGCACTTTGGCACGCTGGGAGATTTATAAACCCTAGAAGGAGCCTCATCTGTGGGTTCCGTTTCGCGGAGGAGTTCGCAGCGGCGGCTCAGGTCGGAAAATGTGACTTTGAGTTAGAGCAGAATAACGATCATCACGGTTTTATTGGTGTTAAAGAGAAGTTAGATCACTCGGAGACGAGTTTGCTCTGTGCGTAACCAGCGTCTTTCCGTGCGTAACTATGATGTGACCTGCATCCAGACGCAGCGCGCCGTTGACCTCTCTGTCACCTCAGCCCTATGCCCTCTTTCCGGTCCGATTGCAAGGCCACCAGTTCCTGCCACTCTCTCTTCTCTTGGCTGGATGTTTTTATGTTACTGCCCTCACCATTTCTACTCCTGGTCGACATTTTTGTGTCATTATATGAAATCTTTTATGTGTTTTTTCAAGGGGAAGCTCTTTAAAACGTTCCTTTAGTGCGATTCAAAAACAGAAATACAGGCCTGTATATCTCACAACTGTTAGAAAAGATATATACAAACTATACATTATGGAAACCATTATTCAAATGATATTCCCATTTAATTTTTAGATGATTACAAAATGTATTAAAACACCACTAAAATGAAATATGAACATATATGTCTGATATTATAATGCTGATTAATGCAGCCTATATCAAGTTACATTAGCTTTATTTATATAATTAAAATACATTGAATTTGTTTGCTTTCCATTTTTCACAACATGCAATTTTAATGTTCATTCGCTCCTATCTAGACCCTTGTATTTCTCTGCGTGTGCGTTGAGGTTATCTCACCTGTATCTCTGTGGTGTCGCCCCCCTTAGGCACGGGCGGAAGCTGCACCCTGGACGGCCAGGTGTTTGCGGACCGGGATGTGTGGAAGCCAGAGCCATGCCAGATCTGTGTGTGCGACAGCGGCACGGTGATGTGCGATGAGGTCATCTGCGAGGACACAACAGACTGCCCCAACCCCGTCATCCCCCACGATGAGTGCTGCCCCATCTGCCCCGACGACGGTATACATCTCTTTCTCTCTTTCTTTGTTAATTCTACCTGCTTTTCATACTTTCTCCATTTTGTCATTATTTTTATTATTCTACCTCCCCCTTTCCTTATTCTTATTATATAGTCCATTCTTATTCTCCTTGTCTCCTTACAAAAAGGCCCAAACACTCAAACTCTTGCTGTCTTTCACCCTCTCTCACTCCTTCCCTCACTTCTTTCACATTTACCCACTTCAATATGACTAAACACATTATCTGCCCCCACAAATGCACACAAGACAGTCTGCCTCTTCTGCTACAGTGACAAGGAAGGAAGAGGACGTGTGTGTGTGTGTGTGTGTGTGTGTTTCATAATCATAAGTCTCTGTGTCTCCTCTCTCTGCAGGCTTCCAGGACGCCCAGGTTGAGGTAAATATTGATTATTTCATTGATAATTGATCGTCAAATGATTGCTCTGAACAAATAATAATTATAAAATATAATAATGTAATTTAAAACAAACCCGTTAATTGTGATATTAATTATTGATCAATGATGGATTGATGATCACGTTATTGATCAGATACATCATTACCCATATGAATCATATCCACATGTTTTTCTATTATTATGACTTTTTAGCATGCACTGAGACACTTTTCTTTGCTCACAGGGACCCAAGGGAGAGCGTGGACCCAAGGGAGACAGGGTAGGTTCACACTCTCACACTTCGTCTGTCACTCACTCATCAGTCGTTCGATTCCTGCTCAGCTGAGGGGCCATGTGGGTGGTGCGTTCACACTCTGTCTGGCACCCAGAGCAGATTCTTGTGTGTTTATGATGGAGCTGTACTGACAAAAGGGTTTCAATTAGTTTTTTTTTTGTTACTTCCGGAACATGTGGAAATGGGACTCGGATCCTTTACAGTCCAGCATTCAAAATCATCAAAGTGTTATCAAAGTAAAACAAGTAAAAGCACTCAAATTATTGATGGAGTGGTGTGTGAACAGCAGCTGTCCCAATGACATCAGGTCTAACTACTTACTGAGATCATAATTAGTGACGGATTCAGCATTTAAGCATTTTTCCTGTAAAGTAGATCCAGGTCTTATGAGTCCCAGAAAGTAGAAATACAAAAGTAAGCTGCACACATAGATCCTTAAAACTGTACTGATGGGTACTACTTGTACTCTTTCCCTTCCATGTCTGAATTAAGTCGCTATCATTATAAAGCGATTTGCTGGAAGAGGGTTCACTGCTTACCGAGAGCAGTGAAATGATCAGGGGGTGAAAACATGCTGGGCTCAGGTTGGAACACGCAGGCTGAGGTTGGAGCTGTTTGGAGCAGGACAGGAAGTGGAGACTTTGCCTGGCTGAAGGGAAGTTAGACACAGTGGGGAAGAGATTTTTCTTTTCTCTCTTTGAGCAGTGGACTTGTTAAGACTTCATTTTTCACAAAGAAAAATCCAATTTTATGTCATCAAAACTGATTACATCCTTAAAAAGTTAAAGGTGGGTTTATGTGAGCTGTGGAAAAAAATCTCCTGTAGATATGTTTGGGGTTGCTTTTGCAGTGTTTTTTTTTACAGATCTTCATGTTGATTTTATTATTGACTTAAAATTAGTCTTTGCTATGATAGGATTTGATTAAGCCAGCTGTACAAGTTGGATCTGAAGAGAATTTGGTCATTTTATTTTGGAAGGTCAGCTCACCTTCAGCTAAGTTTGGGAGTTTACATAAACTCAAGTGTAATTATGAGTTTTCAGTAATTATTATTATAATAAATGTATTCTATTATTCAAAATGTAGAAATGATTGCAGTCATATATTTTGAGTTTGAGATGATGGTGTAATCCCCTGGTCAGTGACTGTACTTACCCACTTCCCGTATCCTGACCACTACCAGTCCAGTCCTGGTTGGTCACATGGTCAGTCTTGGACAGGAGTAAACTGCACCTCCTTCAGGTGTAATGCTGCTTCCATCACTACAGGGAGCCAATCAGCCTGTGGAGACACACATAGGAAATTCATTATAAAAACACAAGGATCTGTTCTGATGTGGGTCTATGGGGGTTGTGTTGGCATCAGAGCCCTGCATTCAGGTGATTCTGACTCTCAAGCTTGACCCCTTCTTTCTCTCATCTTGTCCCCCTGCCCACCCCCAATCACAGGGTCTTCCTGGTCCCCCTGGTAACGATGGTATCCCCGGCCAGCCTGGACAGCCTGGACCTCCCGGCCCTCCTGGACCCCCCGGCCTTGGTGGAGTAAGTTGTTGGGTTTTGTTGTATTTCTGTATTTTACTTGTTTAGATCTAAATTGACCAGTTGTAAGTGGCTGGAAACAAAAGTCACATGACTCGTGCGTGTAGCTCATTCATTGGACACAGGTGTGGCATAATTCTTCTTCTGTGGTGATGTAACAAATCATGAACACACAACCAAAATGCCACGCACAAGCATCAGTCCCAGTTCAGTTTGGTTCTTCCCAGCTTCCCAGCAGTCATATTCTATTACCCATAAATCATTTTGCTTCCTCTACTTTGGCGAGAGATTTTCCAAATGTGTGCAAATACATGAAAATAGACCACCGATGGTTTGGCTTTCAGTCTGGGGTCAGAAGGTCAGAAGGTCATTAGGGTAGATGCTCAGGGAGGGGAAGCAGAGATTCTCTCTATTCATAATGGATGTCCAGTCCAGTAGTTGTATCATGCTAAGAATGTATACAATCCATCCTTACTTAGCATACACAACTCATCAATCATTCCTTCCACTGGCTCTTACTGTAGTTTAGGCTACCATGCTAGCATTTCCAGGCTAATTTAGCATTTTTATGTAGATCCACATGCTAATTCACTAGGCTAAGCTAACATATATCACCCAGCCTGATTTATGCTTATGTAGTAGCTATTATTGACTAACATGCTACTTCACCACATATAGCTAATATAGCATCACAATCTAATTTAGCATGCTATGATTCAGTTCACCGTTGACTTCTTTCCTTCCGACAACATTCCCACATTCTGGTTAAGGATACTGAGCTAACATATGCGGCCTACTTTTGCATTCTCATGTAGAATTTATCACTAAATCACATGCTAATTTACCAGGCTAAGCTCATATGATACCAGTCTAATTTAGCTTGCTGGTATAGACTTTACCACTGACTCACATGCTTATTTACCAGTTTTAGAATCCAAGCATACAAAACCAATATTCCTGTTTTTTAATTTAGCATTTTAATGTAAATTTGACTTTAACCCTTAAGTCAATGGAACAGACTTCCATTCTAAGTGACCACACGAAGATAAACCAGACTCTAAAGCTCAGATAACAGGATGGGATTTGGTAGAGAAAAGTAGGAAACAGGAGACAGATTGTGTTTGTATGAATCTTAATCTTCAGGATTTGGTTGAGACACAATTGAAGAGGTTTTGTCTGGGATGCCCCAAAATCTATTATCAGATTTTGTTGGACAGATGTTTTTCATATATAAGCCCCTGAGTGCATATGCGTATAGATGACAAATGGGTCTTGAACGTGTTGTGAAAATGCATTGTTCTACATACGAAACAACTTAGAAAAGGCCTTTTATCCACGTCATGGAAAGATTAAACCTAATTCACATTACAGACGGATTGGAATATTTCTATATATAATATCTCCGCTTGCTTTTTTCCAGAACTTCTCCCCTCAGATGTCTGGTGGCTACGATGACAAATCTCCTGTCATGCCTGTGCCTGGACCCATGGTATGACGCACACATAAATACACACTATCATTTCACTGTCAATCATGGTGATGCAGTGTCTGACCCTGCCTCTGTTTGATTGACAGGGCCCAATGGGACCCCGTGGACCCCCTGGATCTCCTGGTGCTAGCGTAAGTATATTACTTCCTCAACTCAAAAGTGTTTGGAATCTGAAGCTGGGATGATCGAGCAGGAGAGGGCAGCGATAGCATGCGTACCTTACCATGACATTACCATGACATCACTACCCTCTCCTCAGAGACATGACACGCTCCTTTGTTTCACTGCACAGTGAGAGTACATTTCCAAATAAAAACTACAAAGTTAACACGTAGACACGAATGACATTAACACATAGCCTTCAGTTTCTAAAATGTTCAAAGACTGTATTAAGATGAGAGGAAAACGGAAGAGATTAGAGGGGAATGAAAGAAGCCATCTTAACTAGCTTACAGTTAAAGCAAATAAATACAGCGGTCAGATTGACACGAATAAAGCAAAGCAAAAAACTGAGTATAAACAATTATTTCAACCAAAATACCAGTGAAACAGTATTTCAACAGCCCCTCGCTTTTGTTATCCAACATGCTTCTTTTTCTGACAATTCGAATTGTCAGCACCAGAAAGAATCATTCAAATCTTTAAGCTAGTGGGTTAGCTTTGAGATTCATCACAATAACCAATAAAATCTAAGAGAACCTCTTGAGGCTAGATCAAATCTGGAATAAAGGGTTGACGCAGCGGGCTAATGCAGATCTGTGAATGTAGTTGAAGCTACCCAGGACTCACCCTTAATATACACAAATGATTTACGTCAAGTAACAAGTCACTGAAAAAGAATACTGTCATATAAACAGAGAGTTAGGGTTTGGTTATTGTCATCACTACTGCATTTCAAATTCTGCTACTGTACCCACCCAAGTGAGCTCACAGCAACAATGAAACAAAGATACCCCACTGCCTAACAGACTGTGTATTTTACAGATTTTAGAGAGTGTTATCAACATATCCGTACAGTACTGATGGTGTACAGTAGTAGTGATGGTGTTTTTGTGTGTCCCCTACAGGGACCTCAGGGATTCACTGGCCCCCCTGGTGAGCCCGGAGAGGCTGGAGCTTCTGTGAGTATTAGGAGCACAGAAACAGATACACTCCCACGTTGCACCTCGGTAGTATTTTGCCATTCTCACCTTGTTTTTCCCTACAGGGCCCCATGGGTCCCCGCGGCTCCGCTGGCCCCCCTGGAAAGAACGGAGAGGATGTGAGTCGACTGAATCTGCTCATATTCACCATCTTTTTCTCAGTTTGGATCAAAGAATGACTTTATCCACCCGCTCATTCCTTTCTCTCTGTCTCCCTTCATCTCAGGGTGAGTCTGGCAAACCTGGTCGCAATGGTGAGCGTGGACCTTCCGGCCCACAGGTAAGATGCCACAGCAGAGTAATTCTTGATGATGCATCGTAAGGAACAAAAACAGAGCCTTGGTAATAAATGGTGTCTCCTATCATTCATCTTTCCCTCAGGGAGCTCGTGGTTTCCCAGGAACCCCTGGTCTGCCCGGCATCAAGGGACACAGAGTGAGTCAGAGTTTGGACCTTCCCGTTCAGCAAATCAACAATAAAGCATTTCCTAACTGTGGTCTAACTGTATGTCTCTCTCTCTCTGTAGGGATTCAGTGGACTGGATGGTGCTAAGGGAGACTCTGGCCCAGCTGGCCCCAAGGTGAGTAACTTCTTTGTTATTAGTGTAGAAAAATGTAGCAGAATTAGTAATAGAAGTAGTACAGTGGTGCAAATGGCAATGGTGACAGTAGTTGAAGTACTGGTCATATTATTTATGCGAGTCGAATTGCCCTTCCATAAAGTCCTGGGACAGATTCTTTAGAAAAATGGAAGCTGCAGAAGCTGAAATATCCTGCCTTTTAGTCACAAAATCTGACTGATCAACTGGCTCCTATGTTTCCATAATGCAACCAATAGTATCTTTGTAATGTCTGTTGTAAATGCGCGATTTCCAAGACCAAGCCAAGATGACTACTACTCTGTATGACTAGTAAAATCAGCGGACTCAACCTTTAAGTAATTCTTGGTATTAGTATTAGATTACCAGTGGTAGCAGCATAGAGGCAGCCATGCTAGCTAGTTTAATGAATACTGACAAAGGATGCCACAGTTTCTGTCATTCTCATCACCTCACCTTTATGTATGTCAATGTATGTTTAGGGAGAGTCTGGAGCCCCCGGTGAGAATGGAACCCCTGGTGCTATGGTGAGTAAAACAAGCGCCCCACACCATCTCAGGCATGTAGTAGCCATGTTGGATTTCTTTCCTCCATTCCAATTGATTTAAAGCTGACTGAATGTTTCTCTGTCTCAGGGACCTCGTGGTCTGCCTGGCGAGAGAGGCCGCACTGGTGCTTCTGGAGCTGCTGTGAGTCCCACACACACACACACACACACACACACACACACACACACACACACACACACACATGCAACTACTGTAATCAATCAATCAGTGAACAGACCAATGAATCATGTTTGTCCATGTGCTGCAGGGAGCCCGTGGTAACGATGGTGCTGCTGGTGCTGCTGGACCTCCCGTAAGTCTTCCATTTTCTTAAGGGTAAATTCGGTTTCCGTTAAGGTATAAATTGTTCCCGTGTCTGAATCTCTTTTGTGCTATTGTTTCCTCTCAGGGTCCCACTGGCCCCGCTGGACCTCCTGGATTCCCTGGTGGCCCCGGATCCAAGGTACTACAGCCAACATGATCCAACCTGCATTTTTAATGCCCTTCATCTTCAGCCTCTTCCTTAATTTTCAGCCATTAGCGAGTTACTGGCCTTACTTTGCAGTGCTTCCATGCATTTCTCTTAGCATATGTGTAGGTAGATGACCTTTAATTTGATCTTTGGCCCAAAACAGGGTCACCGGGCTGGGGTGGGGGGTTCTGGAATTCTGTGCCATGTCCCACTTCCATAGTACATGCTAAGTCTAAGTAAGTTTAAAGTGTGTAGTAGTATTAGACAGACAGAATTACCTACATTATTGGTAGTAAATTAGCAATTTCTTTACACCAAAAACACACTCCTCCGTTCCCCCATTTTCATATTCCCTTTCTCCAACCTTTGTTTCTGTCATACCTTTTGACATCCATCTACAAGTCTTCCATTGTGTCTTGATATTGGACATGAGTATCTGACTGTATTCTCTGTTTCCCCTCTACCCAGGGTGACGCCGGACCCCAGGGTGCTCG